AGAGAGAGATTATTCATGGAAGCCGCTGGTGATCATGAACACTCGATGAAGATTCAAGTTTGGAATGACATGGGGGATTTTGTCTGTCCAACTAAATAATGTCGATTTTCTGATCGGCGAATAACCAAGCGAGGCCATTCCTTCTCAATATTGGATAAAAACGAGATTCAGCTGCCTACCAATGTACGACCTCAGATGATATACCACAGCTTGGCTCATGACCGGTTATCGCCGTCTTTGTGCAAGTAATGCCACTTAACAGAATGGCTCGTCGCTTTGAAGCATAAATCAAAACACGGTCTACAACCGATTTGGGTGCAACGAGAGAATAGGTGGATTGCCAGATATTTTCTAATATCTTCGAATAGCCTTTTGCATGCTTCCATTCCCGTAAAGCGAACGACACTGCCCTTTCTTCCGATTATAGAGAAGCGGTTGGACATTTATCCAGAGCAGATTTGAATATAAACCGACGATGTATGGCCAATCGCCGATTGCAACCCTCCGAGTTTCCTTTAAGATTTCTCGGGGGTTGTAGCTCATGTATTGCTTTCAGCCTAAAATGCAGGATCAATATGAATATCCGTTTGTGGTGAGCAGACGATCCAAGAAAATTTGGCCGCTGCGACATTCCAAGGAAGGATTTAGTCGGGTTATTTTCAACTGGATTGAGTTTCTCATAAGCTTCGAATTATTGTCTTCAGATCGTAATAGTGGTCGCTTTTATCAACGGACGTCTTAACGACCAGGTCATCAACGTAGCATTCGACGATCTCCGGAGGTGCTGCTGAAAGATGCTTTGTCAATTGCCTCGTGGTTAAATGTAGGCACCGGCATCTTACAAACCAAATGGATAACCAGTGTAAACAAAACACACTCAGGGGTGTTCTGAATGGCCGTATGCATTTCATCATCCGTGTGCAATCTGATTTGATTATACGCCAGAAAAATCCATCCATGTATGACATTCTTTCAACGACGTAGTGTTGTCAATGATGACATCCGTAATACGTAGAGGGAAAGTCGTGCTGGGGCAGGCCGTATTAAAGATCTCTGAAGTCAATACAAGATCTCTGATTTTTCCATTCTTTTTCAAAGGCTGGAACATATATATATATAATATTATTTCTTTCTAGCTTTCCTAGAAATTCATGATATTGCTCTAGTACATTCCAAGAATTTGAACACATTCATATGACAATGTAACTTCTTATATATATATATATAATGTTATTTCTTTCTAGCTTTCCTAGAAATTCATGATATTGCTCTAGTACATTCCAAGAATTTGAACACATTCATATGACAATGTAACTTCTGTTCACCGGTCATCCTCATATACAAGTATCGTGCTATTATCATTTTCTAGTACGCCTAACGAAATGTTTTCTCCTACACATCCAGTTGGGAATGGGAAGTGCATTGGACACCTTATGTGGACAGGCCTACGGTGCAAAACAGTATCATTTGCTGGGTATACATATGCAAAGGGCTATGGTTGTTCTTGTCCTTGTAAGTATTCCTCTGGCTTTAATTTGGGCCTACACCAGCCAAATTCTCATGGCTGTTGGTCAAAATCCAGAAATATCTTTGGAAGCTGGAGTCTATGCTCGTTGGTTGATTCCAGGCCTCTTTGCTTATGGCCTGCTTCAGTGCCATGTCAGGTTTCTGCAAACTCAAAACATAGTTTCTCCACTGTTAATAAGCTCCGGGATAACAACATTATTCCACATATTTGCATGTTGGATTCTAGTTTATAGATCTGGTCTTGGGAATAAAGGTGCTGCATTAGCAATTTCTGTTTCATACTGGATCAATGTACTGCAGTTGGCACTTCATCTCCAGTTCTCACAGGCATGCAAGAAGACTTGGAATGGTGTGTCAAAAGAGGCACTGCATCACGTCTTTAACTTCCTAGAACTTGCAATTCCTTCAGCATTTATGACTTGGTAAGAATCTTCATTTAGGCCTTGAGGAAAGTGGTGCTGCTTCTGCCTTCTGTTTCTGTTCTTCTATACTCAGAGAAGTTGGTTGCTGCAGAGCTAAGATATTGGAAGCTTAGGAGCTAGAAACACATTTAAGAACATATACATAATGAAGCTTGCCATTATAACAGTGGGTTATGCAGAAGTCTTTGAGTTCCTAATTTATTTACATATGTTGGTGCATTGTGAATATATTTCTAGGGGAACCAAGATATGCATGATATAATTTTATGATTCAAATAGTGTCTTTGGTACATTTATGGTACTATATTGTGTTATCATATGATGTGAATTAGTTGAATGGGAACCTTCACAACCTTTGCCACATGCCTTGCCTAGTATACGTGTGTATTCATGTATGGGTTGTGCTTGAACTCCATATTGCACTATCAGCGTATGCAGTGCTTCTCAAAACTAGCATACGACATCTATCTCCCTAGACTGAAAAGTTTTTTTGCTTGGTACTTATGTGCACAATATATGCAGTTATATGTTAATTGGAACATGAAAAAGTTGCCTAAAATGCTGGACTATATGATCATCTGATACTCCTTGTCTTGAACAAGTTTACAAATGTTAAAGCATGGCATTGATATATGACTACAAGGGGTGAGCATTAAATTATCCTTCTAAAATAAACCATTTGGTAGCTAACGTTGGAAGCTTTCTGGGAAACAACCAAAAGCTTTTCATCATTGAGGGGGTTGGACTAGCTCTCTGGCTAGACTTCCCAAATTTCTTTTCAGACAGATTAAACCTTATGGAATATGAACAAAGAGTTTGCTTTTATTTTATGTACTAAAAACTTGTGTGCTAATTGAGATCGTTCTTGTGATTTGATGCAGCTTGGAATATTGGTCATTTGAGATGGTGGTTCTTCTATCTGGTCTTCTTTCTAATCCAAAGCTAGAAACTTCTACCTTATCCATCAGGTTAGGCACTTCTTCTAGCAGTCTCTATCCATGATTTTGTTTTTCAAGGCATTGCATTTCAAGGAACCTAATCCCATTACTGATGGAAGATACTCAGACTTATGCTTATAAAAGATAAGTTTATTTGAACCTTCTAGAATATCGGGGATCCTAGCTGGAAGTCAAGTACATCTGGGAGATGATACATGGAAAGAAGTAATAGCATGCAAACAAAGCCGCTCCAGCAAATAAGTTCTGTTTGTTATTTTCTCAAAAAAAACTTGTATATAATCAATTAGATCTTTAGAAATGAGTTTTTGAAATTGGCTTGTCTATAGAGAGTTCACTTTAGACAACATTGCATTTTCCTTAATGCATTATTGTGGCAAATCAATAATCTATATAAGATCCTTGTATAAGCCACATAAGAATGAAATTTCTTCCAAATTATTACAAATAAAAGATGGATACTAAAGAGGGGAAGTACATAACCATCTTACCCTGTACTGGTCCACAAATAATTCTACTATGAAGAAAGTTCTCGACATGGGACTCATGGGTATTGTTTTGATACAGGACACTTTCTCTTAAGAGCATCAATTTGTAGTATTTTCTTTTCTCTTTTTTTATCCATTATAACAACAAAATTTTATTAGCTCATGAATTGTGAATAGTACTTTTTTCTATTAACATTTTCAACATGTCCATTATACATTTGTTGAATGGTTTCTGGTTAGGCATTAGATGTCAGAATATGCATTTCCTTCTCACATTCATGTGAAGTTGTACAACAAGAAACTCTCATCCTGAACTTTTGCAAACACATCCGTGAATCTTTTTCAGTTTTCTATGTCAGCCATGCTAAGAAAATGCAACCGTCGTTCAGTTTTTCATATTAAATAAAACATATATCAAGCTTCTCACATATTCATTTCAATGAACTATATAAGCTTAGTCATTATCAGCATAAAACTTAATCATTGCTAAGCTAAGTATAACAAGTATACGAAATCCTCATTTTGCTGGTACCCTTATGATGAAAGATAAAACTTGCCCTAACCATGGCAAGAAAAGAGATATTAAAGAGTCATAAACAAGAAAATCCTAGGTCCTCAAACAAAAAGGACTACAAAAAGGCGGTTTTTCGATATTAGTCCCCTAAATCTTCAATATTTTAAAATTAGTTCCCAAAATCTTCTTATTTTGAAGTTAGCCCCCAAATCTTAAGTACTTTGATATTTGTCCCCAAATCTTCATATTTGAAATTAGTCCCCCAAATATGTTAAGTGTCTTGTAATTAGTCCCCAAAATATTTCAACCTGGTACTAACTAGAGGGACTAATTTTAGAACACTTAAGAGATTTAGGGGACTAATTTCAAAATATGAAGATTTGGGGGACTGATTTCAAAATAGTTAAATGAATAGGGGACTAATATCGAAACCCCCAAAAAACTCAAATTTATTCAGAAAATAGCGCCTGGGAGAATGTTTCTCCACCATTTATTTTCCATGAAAGTTTTGAAATTGGCTTATCTATAGAAAGTTCACTGTAGATGATATTACATTTTCCATAATGCATTATTATTTCAAATCAATAATCTATATGAGATCCTTGTATAAGCTACATCAAAATGAAATTTCTTCCAAATTATTCAAATAAAAGATGGACACTTAAACGGGGAAGTGTGTAACCTCTACACTGTGCTGGCCCGCAAATAATTGTACTATGAAGAAATTTCACAACATGGGACTCATGAATACTGTTTTGATATAGTACACTTTCTTTTAAGAGCATCACTTTGTAATACTTTTTCTCTTTTTTTTATCCCTTAAAACAAAAGAAATTTGGTAGCTCATGAATTACATTCAGTACTTTTTTCTTTTCTAGAAGTTTTCAACATTTTCAACATATCCGTTATCCATTTGTGGGATAGTTGCTGGTTAGGCATTAGATTTTAGGATATGCATTTTCTTCTAATATTCATGGTTAGGCATTAGATATGAGGATATGCATTTTCTTTAATATTCATGTTAACTTATACAATAAGAAAATCTCATCCTGAACTTTTGCAAAGACCTACATGAATACTTTTCAGTTTTCTATGTTAGTCATGCTAAGAAAATGCAGCTGTCGTTCAGTTTTTCATATTGTATAAATATATATATATCCAGCTTTCCTTTGCATATTCATTCAAATCAATGACCTATGTAAACTTAGTAGTTGTCAGAATAAAAATTAATCATTGCTAAGCTAAGTATAACAAGTATATGAAATGCTCATTTTATTTGTACCCTTATGATAAAAGATAAAACTTGCATTAACCATCAGAAGAAAAGAGATACTAAAGGGTCATAAACAACAAAATCCTAGGTACTCAAGGAAAAATTAGGGATAGAGAAATTGCCAAAAGAAGTGGACATCATGGCCACAAAAGAAAACTACAAGAAGGGGGGCTTCCCACATTAGTCCCCCTAATCTTCAATATTTTGAAATTAGTTTCCGAAATCTTCATATTTTGAAATTAGCCCCCCAATCTTTAAATATTTTGTTATTAGTCGTCCAAATCTTCATTTTTTGAAATTAGTTCTCCAAATATGTTTGTTTGAAATTAGTCCCCCAAATCTTTCAACCTAGTACTAACTAGAGGGACTAATTTTAGAAAACACTTGAGAGATTTGGGGGACTAATTTAAAATTATGAAGATTGGGGAGACTATTTCAAAATATTTAATAATTTGGGGGACTCATTCTAAAAAATGAAGATTTGGTAGATTAATTTCAAAATATTGAATTTTTGGGC